TATATATATATATATATATATATATATATATATACATATAACGTAGGGACGTAGAAATAGGAGTAACACGTGAGAAAGGGGCTGAAGAGGTGAACAGGGTGGCGGAAGGTGGAAAGAGAAAAGGAAGGGGGAAAGGTGGGTACCCTTCTAAGCGTACACACACACATATATATACTTCACACACCTATGGAAGTTGGTTCTAAAGAGTATGAGAGAGAGAAAAGGGAACCCTTGGTCTCTGCCCTTCCCTGTCCATCGTCCACACCCCTATACGTCCCTCATCGTCCACCCTTCACCCTGCTCGACCCCTTAGGAGCCATCAAACGCGTCCTTTCCCTCGGAGTTACCCGTCCCGTCCAGCAACAGCAGCAGCAGCAGAAACGGACCCCACGATGAGAGAAGTACTACGAACGAGGATGAGGAGGAAGAAGAAGAAGAGAAAGAGGAGAGAAGGAGGTTGGTAAAGGAGGGTTAGGAAAAGGGTGGGTGGGATTGAGAGGAAGAGGACGGGTGTTCTGACAGTGACAGACCCTACCTTACCATCACCACCATCACCACCACACCACCACGATCCTCGTCGTAGTCGTCTACGATGGTAGTGTGGTATACACGTTTCTACTTTACTCTTCTCTGGTGCCGTTCATGATAGTAGACTAGTAGTAGTAGTAGTAGTAATAGTAGTAGTAGTAGTAGTTGTGCCGCTTACGTCGGTGGGGGAGGGTCGAGGGTCGTCGAGAGGTAAAGGGATGAGGTGGGGGTGAGAGGAACTCAGAGAGGAACGATGTTGGGCGCTGGGAGGTGGATTGGGAAGAAGGGGGGCCTTCTATATGAGGGGGAAAAGAGAGAGGGAGAGGTACTACCTAGCGTTGAGAGAGGATCGAAAGGGGTGAGAATGAAAAGGGAGTGAGTGAGAGAGAGAGAGAAAGGGAATCTATGGGGGAGAGAGCTTGGCTTGGGGAAGAGAGAAGGACGAGGGAGTCCTGAAAGGGCGCGGCGAGTAGAGAGGGGAGTATAGTTGGTGAACGAATGAGAGAGAGAGAGAGAGAGAGAGAGAAAGAGGGAGATGAGTTGCCTCGTGGTTGGGTCAGAGGCGTCGGGAGATCGAGCGAGCACGTAAAAGAGTGAGAGAGGGAGAGAGTTGGGAAAGAGAGTAAGTGAGAGAGAAAGAGAGAGAAACATAGATAGTATGAAAGTGGGAATGAAAGAGAGAGAGAGAGAGAGAAAGAGATGTACAGGGGAACGTGAGCGGCAGGACGGAGGGGCGGGGTAGGGGTGCGCGGTAGCGGTGGTGGCGGCGGCGACGAGAGAGTCAGAGGTGGAGGTGGAGGTGGACGATGACGGTGAAGTGAGACGAGGGGAAAAGGGAAACTCTCTCTCTACGGTAAAAGAGAGTGTGAGAGAGTAGAGTAGCAGCAGCGAACGGGGTGGGGGAGGGTTCGAAAGAGTGTGTGTGAGAGTGAGAGAGAGGGAGTGACTGAGGCGGAGAAGAGAGGGGGGTCGCCAGCGCGTCGCCAGCCGCCAGTTCGCCGTGAGCGCTCGTGACGTGAGGACGTTCTGTGATTTTAATCTTATAAAGGGCGTACCGTACTGTACCGTACCGTACCGTACCGTATCGTACTGTACCGTGTACTGTACACAATTTTACATCGTCGTTTTCTCACCTCGAGCTTACCTTTTTTTTTCACCTAGTTTTCTCTCGATTCTACGAAGAAACAAAGGTAGAAATAAAATAAAATAAAATAAAATAAAATAAAAAAGGAAAGAGAATAATAATATTAATAATAATATTATTTGTTTTGAAAAAGAAAGGATTGGATAAAGATAAATATAATAATAATAATAATAGATAAGAAGGATTTTGGTGGGAATCACGTTTACTTCTAATACCTGATTCATCTTTTTTCTTTTACATATATATATATATATATATATATATATATATATATATATATATATATATATAC